AATGCCGACGCACCAGAAGAGTAATCCATTGTTCATTTCGTATCCTGAAATGTTTGGGGTTCACTGTGATGATTATCGTCAGCTGCAGAGAGAAGTTGTGAAGAGATTCCTGGTGCTGGGTGGGCGCAGAGATTGGGAGTTACCTGAGAAAGTATCCCAAATGTCCACCCAGCACCAAGGAAAAACAACAAAACGAAGGGGCCAAATTCTCAACAATCCCCACTCTCTCAAGACCACGGCTGTCAGAACTTAGATAAAATGCACTAGGTCGGACTGGGCAGCCCACAGCACAGGATGAAGAGGAAAAAATAGATTGCAAGGCAGAACCAGCTGAACTCGCGAGCCCGCCTCTAACCCGGCCCTCCACTAAGTTCCTAAACCTCTCGGGGCCCGTTTCCACGCAGCGCCGTGGAGAAAATGCCCACGCAGGCTTGAGTGGAAATCAGGAGGGCCGTGCTGGAGGCCAGCTCCCACCCTCCCAGCCTGAGTAAGGGACCCACCGAGCTAGCGCCCACACACTCCGCAGCACCCAGGAAGAGGGCTGGGGGAGCCCGCGTTCCTGCATCAGGCTGCAGCCAGGCCATCGGGACGCCTTTGGCAGGCCGTGCACGTCGTACCTGCTCACACTTCCAGCCCGCGACCTCTGCCTCGCACGAAAGCGATTACAGCCCGGGAATCCGTGAGGTCTAACTCGGAAACAGGCGAAATTCCCGCCACTGCGCGCGCGCCTGTGGGGGCGGAGCCACGGGCTCCGGCAGCCAGTCCCCTCGCGAGGTCTTAGCAGACTCACGCCCGCTCTGAGTTATCGCGAGAGTCTATCGTTTTGGGACTAGGAGCGCGAATACACCCTTTTCTTTCTCCACCCCACCCCCTCTTTCTGTAATTGGTGCTTCGGGCTGGAAGGCTGGGCTTTGTCAGAAAACGGAACCAATTTGGAAGCAAGGTGAGAAAAGCCTCAGGACAGCGGGGTTATCCTCCCTCTGGGCCTAAGACGTTACCTGAGTGAGGCCAAAGCTAGAGTTTTATTCACACCCAGAACCGCGCCATCTCCTCTTCCTGGCCTACCGCCAGCAACTTTTTTGTTGGAATGAAGTACGCCTTTTGTTCATGGACTGTGAGCGACAAAAGTGCAAAAGAGCCGATCCAGTGTTTGGAAACACTAAGTGAGGTGGCCCTTGCTTTTGTTGTTAAAAACTGTTGCTCCCTTTCTTTCCAACACATCTGAACAGGTTTTTAATACACTGTTGTAATGGTTTAGTCCATCCACAACATCTTGCTTAACTTTTTAAAGTGTTTTTTTGTTTTGTTTTGGTTTTTTTTGGAGAGATTTTCACTGTAGGGCGCATGCGCTCGCCAGACAGACAGAGAGAGACATAGAGACAGAAAGCGAGAAATCACCCACCAGAGGGGATGGTCACGCCGCAATCCCTTCTCCTCCATTCTCCTCTCGGGATCTTGGGCACGCACGCACACGCGCCCGGAGTGAGTTTTAAGCCACCGGGTCCGGGACGTGAACCGCGGGCGACTATGTGGGAGTCCAGCGACATAGCCATTACGCCAACTGCTGGTTCCCTAAAGTGTTTTTTTAAAATCTCCTCAGAGAGCCTTCCAGCCTCAGAGATAACATTGCAGTAAGTATATCAGTACCTTGAGAACCAACAACGAATTTCAAATTCAAATACCCTGCTGTAATTTAAACGTTTGTCATTGCCCACTCGTTGCAGTACACCTCATCCTGCCTTCAGTGCCTGTATAGGGGAGTTGCCCTAACTTACCTGTTACCTAGACATGAGAATATTGTGCTCTGACACTTTGTTTAGTAGAGTTTTTTTTTTTTTCTTTTGGATAGTAGAATTTGATCAACAGCCATTACTCTCTATCTAATCACAGCATCCAGGCCAGACCCCCTTCTAAAGTTGAATGTCCGGGGACCAGCAGATGGTGTAATGGTTATGTTGCTGGACTCCTATGTAATCAACCACAGTTGGAGTCCCAGACCCACCCAGCGTGGCTTAATATTGACAATGGGTGCCTGTGCTTGGGTCCCCCAAATCCTGAGAAGTAAATGGAGGAGAAGGAATTGTGGTGTGGCCACACAGAGGAACTGGAGTGTGTGTGTGTGTGGGGGGGGGATTTCTTGCTTTCAATCTCTGCCTCTGTCTCTCCAGCAAATGCAAGTGCCCTATAGCAAAAATCTGTCTTAAAAAAAAATTAAATGTCTGATATTGAGTGATCAACTTGCTTGAATGTTGTAAGGGGGATGGAGAGAACCAAAATAAACTCTATAAATAATTTAAACTAGTACTATAATATTAACACATGTTAGTAACACACTTGATGAAGTGGCTATATACAAAATTATAGACAAGGTTACTACTAAACAAGAAGTCATGGTAAAGCACCCAAGGCTAATCAGAGAAGCATTATTACTATTAGGGTAAAAAGAGGATTACCTGAGCCCAGTGAGACTTAGGAAACAGTCCACCTATCTTATAGCCAACTATGGTGCCTTAATAACTATTGCCAACCTGTAACCCAGCAGGGAGGGAGGTGGAAGGATTAATATCCCAACCTCTTTGCTTCCTGGCTCTAATTTCCAACTGTGTCTCTCATGATCAAAAACAACCTAAAATTAAAGGACAAAATGCAGACTATAAAGTTCAGGTTACTGGGTTAGAGTCTAGACTGAAGAAGGATGGAGCATGAATCTGATAGAAAAGGGTCAGTTTTGGGACCAGCAGATGGCATAATGGTTACGTCACTGGACTATCACATAGTTGGCCACAGTTTGGATCCTGGACCAGGCGGCTTAAAACTCTGGGCACATGTGCATACATGCCCCATATCTCGAGAGAAGAATGGAGAAGGGATTGCGGCATGGCATCTTCCCCTGGGGGCTAATTTCTCACTTTCTGTCTCTCTGCCTCTTTCTGTCTATTCAGTAAGTGCGTGTGCTCTATAGCAAAAATCTCTCCGAAAAAAGGATCAGTTTCATCAAGAACACATAACAATGCTAGCTGTGTATATATCTAATAACAAAGCTTCCATATATATAAAAGTAAAAAATGCTATTACATATAGAAGAAATACACAAATCAACAATTAGAAACTTGAACACTCCTCTCTGTAACTATAACAATTAGACTGAAAATTAGTGTAGTTACAGAAGACTTCAATAGCACTACCAACCAACTTGACTTAATTGACATTTATTGGTAACTCAACCTAACAAATAACAGAATACAGATTCTTGACAGGTGTACATAGAAAATTCACTAAAATGGACCGTATTCTGAGCAACACAAAAAGAAAAAGGTTTAATAATGTTATTTAATTTTTAAATAATTATTTGATTTAACTTCATTTATTTATTTTAATTTGTCCAGAGAGGAACAGAGAGAAAGAGAGTGAGGGAGGAAAAGTGGGAAAGCAAGCCACCAGATCTGGGACTCGAACCACGGCCAGCCATGTGAGTCCAGTAGCCTTACCCTCCATGCCACCTGCTGGCCTCAATTTCATCAACTTTAAATAAATTGAAATTAGACAAAGTCTGAACACAGTCGAATTGAACTGGAAATAAAAGGCGAATGCACAAAAAACTCTCTAAATATTTTGAAATTAAGTAACACTTCTGATTAATCCATGAATCAAAGAAGAAATCACTGGATAAATTAGAAAACATTCTGAATTAAATAAAAATGAAAATATTAAAATGTATGTTAACTACTTAACATTAGAAAAGAAGAGCTCAAGTCAATAATTTAAACTTTTTTCTTCAGAAACTATAAAAGAGAAACAGCAAATCAAAACCAGAGCAAGCAAGAAGAAGGAAATAATAACAACTAGAAATAAGCAGAATGAAACAGAAGAATAAAGAAAGTAAATGAAACCAAGGTAGTTATTTGATAATATAATTAACAAACCCTCTAGCAAGACTGATTAAGAGAAAAAGAGTAGACACAAATTACCAATATCAGAAATTAAAGAAGTATCATCTCTATGCATTCTACATTTAAAGGGTGAATGCATTATGAGAACATTAAAAGCATTTTGTGCCAGTAAACATGGATGAAATGGACAATTTAAACTTACTTGAAGACATAAAATTCCAAAACAAACAAAAGAAGAAAAAGACAACTGATAACTTGAGTATCTCTGTGTCCATCATGTAATTTAAATCTTTGGTTAAAAAACCCACCGTCTCTGTATGAGTGTGTATGTGTGTGTCACACATACCACGCTACTTAGAAAAAAACTCCAAGACAAACTGCTTTGCTGTTGAATTCTTCCAGACATATAAGGAAAGAATAATCTCGGGACCAGCAATTAGTGTAATGGCTATGTCGCTGGACTCCCATGTAGTCGACCACAGTTCGCGTCCCGGACCCGGTGGCTTAAAAAAACTCACGCTGGGTACGTGTGCGTGCATGCCCAAGATCCCGAGAGGAGAATGGAGGAGAAGGGA